CTGTGTTGCCAGATTGTGGGCAAAAAAGGCAGCATCATTTAAAAGTTTGCTCAGAAGGCCTGAGGTTCACAGGAGTCGACTGAAGGACACTCATGTTTTTGTAGCATTTTTTTCTGAGCTCAGTCTCTTTGTAAATAGTTGCTTACTCTTTTCTACTTGTTTTTACACAGCATGTTTTTGTAAATTTTACCCTTGAACTGCATTTTTGTTTTTTTGTGACAACGAAACTGTCTGCTTTACTTTTTTTGTAAATTTGTTTTCTAAAAATGGAAAATACAGCTTTTACTTCAAATACAGTTTTGCTTTACTTACTTCAAGTATTTCCATTTCATGCCACTTCAGTGATTCTAATGCACAACAATTCAAAGGGAAACATTGTCCGAGGAGATGATCTTATAACATGCACACAGTCAAAGGTTAAAGCGGTTTTGGCTGCATCAGGTCTGTTGTAGGAGCCCAACACATGATTTCAATTTCAGTTTGTTCCACCAAAGAGACTTCTCCCGTCTAAAGCTCTCGGATGGTTTCATTTATATTTTTACAAAAAAAGGAGGAATATAAATATGTGCAGCAGAGCTTCGTTTTATCTTCTCTTTCCCCATTAATCATCTTAAGACTCCTCCTCCACATTTATCTTTGAGCCTTTGGAGAGACCCAACTCTTGGGTTTTGAGCTGCTGGATATTAAGTTAAAACTAGCTCCAGTAAACTGCTACTTAGGCAGTGATGCATCAGATTTAACAATAACAATACATCTCTGACAGTTTCTGTTTTCCTGCAAAACAAGTACTTTTCCTGAGGAGTAGGATGTTGAGCACAGGACTTTTACTGATAACGATATCTGATGAGAAGTCCTCTCTTAGTATACAGACACTGAACTGCAAAACGTCAGTGACAAATACTAAAGATAGATAAATAACAGATAATAAAATGGCACGTACAAGTCATATTAAAATTTAGGAAAATGGCAGATAAGTAATGTTGCACAGTTAATCATTGCATGGATCAATGGAGTATTTTATACTTTGTTGATTTAATGGCTGAAAAAAATAACACAATGTTTCTACTTTGCATCAAACATTTATTCTTAAACGATGAATTCATGCCTGGATGTTTTCTCAGTTCTGAAACAACAACAACAACATAAATCTATGCATTGATTTCTGGTGTGACTATACTGAGGGGGGAAATATAAATATACTGAGAAATGACCAGGTGCTGGTTACAGCCTGGTGCCAGAGGAAGATGTATTTTAAGAATGTGTTCATTTCCATTTGGTTGAGACACCAGTCACAGCACATTTGACTCAGACAATGAATCAGCCTGAGGTGTGGCTCCTTCCCCGTGATACCTGACCCCCCCACACAGACGCAGAGGCTCCCACACCAGGTGTTATGGGTTAAAACAATGGGCCATGGCTCTTCGATGCGACGTGAGATTGTTTGCTTGGGTCATAACTGATCTGCAAGAATGTGTGTGAGTGGGTTTTTGCATATGTATAGGAGTGATGATGTAATAACAACGGGGAATCATTATAAGGCGAATAACCCTTTAGAATCTGCTTTACTATTGGCTTTAATTCTTTTCTATGTTTGCCTAGAAGCCACTGTCATCCTTGTGATACTGCTGCCGACGAAACTCTATATGCACCGTGAATCTGGGTCATAAAGATTTATGACTGGCTAAAAATGGTGCATAAAGTCAGTATTACAAATAAAAGTGGCTCCAACTCCACTCCACGAATAATAAAATTAAAAAAACAGATTAAATCCACAGAGAAAAAGAACTGAGTAAACTATTCCATAAATAAAAATGATTGAAGCTCCATTACATCAATGTTGGGCTTTGGAGATTATTTTATTTGAATATTAAATTAATAAAAAGTTGTTGGAGCCTCGTGAGAGCAGGATTCAATCAACATGTACATAAAGAGCTCTGACACTTGTAAACTTTCCTCCGCGTTCAGCCTGTGGCCTTTTTCTGAGCGAGTCTGACCACCAGAAATGTGACTGTTGTTTATGGAAGAAATTGGTCAGTCTTATTTAAATCACATCTAGTTAATTGAATTATAAAAGCCAGAACAGCATGTTCCTGAACCTCATCCCCCTCCTTGTCTTGATACCTAAAGTTTCCACTTCGCCTTCCCTCCTCCATTTTTCAGACAATGGCCAGTTTGATGTTGTAATTAAATTTCCAAACATGTGATAGTTCAGATGGTTTCTTTTTTTCCTGAGAATTTCCAGATTTCTGGACAAAGCTTTCATTTGTTTTACCGGACCCCCCCTCTCCTCTCCTGCCTTCATGGATTGACTCAAACCACCAACGATAACCTATCTGCATGTAGTATTTAAACTTGAACATGAAACATCAAAATATCATTACTACACCATCCCCTGTGACTCCATCCATCAGCTCATAACAGCGACGACTCTCTCCACCCTGGGGAGGGACGTCAACAGGCTTTTCAAAAGGGCATAACCTCCACGCTGCCGCCGGTGTTCACAGACATCTTTAACATCTCACTAGAGACGTGCCATGTGCTGAACTGCTTCAAATCCTCCACCATCGCACCTGAGCCCAAAAAACCAAGGATCATCTCAAAGCCATCACTGACCCACTCCTGGACCCCCTGCAGTTCACCCACAGAACACTTCATCCTCCAGCACCTGGACTTCCTCAGACTTCCTGTCTGACAGGAAGCAGTAGGTCTCTGACTGCTGGACCATCAGCACCAGATGTCCTCAGTGCTGTGCCCTGTCTCCTCCTGCTCTTCTCCCTGTGCACCAACAGCTGCACCTCCAGTCATCAGTTTGTAAAGCTCCTGAAATTCAGCTAGCAAGTTAGCAGCTAGCTCGTCAGCTACGCCACCAACATTCTGGACCGAATATGTTGCAGAGACACATTGATTCGTTTCCTGGTTCCACTTTTTCGTGGGATCTGCAGAGTTGGTGATCATTCTCAGTGGATTGATGTTTCAGGACGGGCTGCACATCATCATTAACTTCATTGTTAACGTACGCAGCGCGGTAACGTGCAGCTTCATGAAGGCAGAAGAAGAACATTCAACACCCCTCTCTGTGCGTTAACCTTGTCCCGCTGAAGACTCCGTTAATATGAAGACATTAATTACATCTTATGGAAATGTCATGACTTCTATGGATTATTGAAACATGAAATCAATATGTAAAATAGGCAAAAACATTTACTAAGTGAAGTTTATGTCGGAAAGCAGCTCCACAGACACGTGAGATAGTTTCAGTTTTCTTTCTCTAAAATAATATTTGTTCGATCTGGAGGGAGAATTAATCAGATAACTTTTTTTTTTTCAACTTAACAGCAGGGTTACATTTCCAGCATTTATCTGACACTTGTTCCAGTTTTACTCCTAACGCCCGAAGGGATCATCTTGTTCACAGGTTCACGTCTGTTGATGGATACACTGGGATTCAAACTGTGACCTTTTGGTTTTCAGACAGGCTTTCTAAGTCCCACAACAACCCCGCGAGTCTGGCCTGTTTGATGTTTTTCCCCTGCTCACTGAGCACCTGCAAGGAAAACAAATGATTTCCTCCCAAGTTTTAATCATCCCCGTGTCAGACTTGGAGTTCAGGCAATTCCTCCACTTCATTGCTCTAATGAAAGATGAATTATTGCTGTAGTCGCATTAAACACCCATCCATATCACCTTGGTCTCATGACAAAAAAATGAGTTATGTCTTTGGTACCTGGAGAGTGATGAATGCAGGTCAAAATGGATTTGTTTTTGTGCCAGGAAAAGATGTGTACTCTATTTGAAAAAGTGACGCCTCATCCAAAAAATGGTTCCTCGGATGGAGGGAACACATTTAAGGCAATTCAGCAATTTCACAACCTTCGCCAACAAAATTATTAAACAATGAATTTCTGGGAACTTTATTCCCCTCATGTAATCAAACCTCTTTCCTCATCTCGTTCTATTAACTTGTCAAATCCTCTCGTGCACCCTCTCAAGTCATTTTCCAAAGTTCACAATCACAATCAAATAAATTAGACCTATTTAAGTGATAAGCAGCCAAAACAAAATGCTATGAGTGCTTTGTTATGAGATCATGAGCTTATTTTCTTACAATTAAAACTCAAACAGTGGACACTTACTGAAAAGGAACAAAAGGAAACATGAATGATATTTTGCTTGTATTGTAATGCAGAGATAGTACCTGGAGTAGTCTCTTTGTCCCAGCAATCCTTAGTGAATATTCCTACCGTGGCCCATAAATAAAGATGTCTTCTGGGGATGTGTGGTTCGGCGCAATTGCATCCCTCCTGATACCATCGTTCTTGCCACAGGCAATGTGTGCAGGGAGGTGTGCAGAGGTAAACAAGGACAGCTCAAAGTCTTTGCATATGTCCCACTTCTCGCGTGCCTGGGTGAATCTATTGTGAAGGTGAATCTTGGTGGCACTACGTGTTCGGACTTTAAAGCAGACGCCCGCTACATAAATTAAACACCACGGGTCACACGATTTTCCCAATCACGCCGGATCCAGGTATGCTAATTAAAAGCAAAGAGCTTCATATTCAGACTTGAATGGTCATTTCATTACCACTCAAATCAAATCTCAAACAGCTATTCAGGCGCTGGAACCAAGACGGGCTGATTTGGCAAAACTCTGCACTTCTGACATGATTTGACATCAAGTCAGTCAATGTAAAATGTTGCTTTCACCAATATAAAGCCTTTTGGGGAAAAAACAGCACTTCAATTACTTCACCTGGGTATATTACTCACTTTGTAAGAGGAGGCTTTTATTGTTTTCAAATAAAAACTGGCAGAAACAGAATCAAATAATAACAATTTCTGCTGGACTGAAAGACGAATCAACTGGCCCCCCAATAATTATGTTTGGTCTGCTTCATTGACTCTGACTCTGTGTTCCTTTAGTTTTCATATTTCGTTTCATCCTGGCCGTGTGTTCAGCTTTTCCAGCGTTAAATCGAGCCTGTTATTTGTTCTCCTCACAGAGCCAGGCCTTGGCCCACTACAAGGGGACCAAACATGCCAAGAAGCTAAAAGCCCTGGATGCTCCGAAGAGTAAGCTCAAAGGCTCAGTGGTCACCAAGGAAACCACCAACCAGGAGATCGCCAAGGGTATCAACACCTCGCAGGTCCCCAATGGCACCGACAGGAAAGGTTTGTTTTCCTGCTTGCTCCACATTCCTCAACACAGTCTTTGTTTTTTTTTTCTTTATGTAGCTGCTGCTTTCCTGTTGAGAATGAATGTTGGACCTGAACACCCACCCATTTGGCATGTTAAATTTGCTGCACACAGCATGCAATCACTTTAGGAGTTGGATGGACTCTCTGTTGATTATATCAACCCTGTGTTGGCTGTGGCTCTGCCGATGGCTGGCTGCCGGCTCAGCACTCACATAGTGCTTTCACACATGCACTGCAACCCTGAACTTATCTAGACATCACCCGAAGGAGCTGTGAGCTGCGAGAACGCAAATGTCTGAATCACTTGGAGCGGACATTATGAGGACTTTACCGAGCCAGCTTCCATGTACAAAGTCTGTGTAATGTCTGATTGAGGTGACGTGTGAATTGAGCGGAGAATTGGCAGGGAGCGAGCAGACGTGCCGATGACATCTCTGTCATCTCTGTCCTGCCTCCTGTGGCTGAAATGAAAATGGCTTTAAATTCAATTTTTAGAGTCAGCAGATCTTTGCAGGACACACAGGAAGGATGAGTGACGGCCTCAGTGTGCTCTGAACGAAGCGCTCGTCTCGTCAGATCATCTACGGCCACATTCACATTCACATTCACATTCACATTCACATTCACAGACAACAGAAAAAAGTGGCTCACTCATTCAGTTGAATTGGACCACTCCATTAATACAGCATGGGGGCCGATGCGGAGGGCTCGGGCAATGGAACCAAGATGTTGAATCTCATTCGATTTTTTTTCTGCAACGCGATGCAACATTGATCAAATTCTCAATAAACTCCGGTATGTCCAAAACACTACCAGGAGTGACAGCCTCCTCCATCGTTAGCCCCACCCTCAGGAAGTCCCTCCACATGGACATCAGACGCTCTGCCACCCTCCCCAGCTTTTAAAAAACACACAAAACTCATCTTTTTAAAGCTGCATTTCATTTTTAATCAGCTGTCACCGATGCTTTTATATGAGATTATATTTTATCTGTGTAAAGCATCTTTAAATGCCTTTAACAGAGCTGTATTAATATTATTAACAAATACGTGAAAGCACAGTCCTGGTAAATTACATTGTAACATGTAGCTGTATTTCTACCATCTCTGCATTGTAATTATGTTTCTGCATCTGATAAATCTTCAAACGCATTAATCAGTTCCTTGTTGTCTCACTGGCACCTGAAGCATCCAACACAACCTCACGCATTTTTTAAATTTAAATGCAGGGCTGTTTCCGGTCTGAATGCTGCTAACACATCTGAAACTCCTTTATTTCCGATGGCAGAATCAAAGGACGGTTCGTGTCCAACAATTGTTTTAATTTTTGCGGAAACAATCACCCACAAATCACGGGCCACTTTGCGCATCGATTGTCCAGGTGGCGTGGAAGCAGAACGAAGAGAGCTTGAGGGAGAAGTTTCATTCTGAGCGCCACACCACGATTGGCTTTGAGGAGAGGCCGCCTGAAAGTGCGTGCCATCATCCCCATTTGTGTGATTCACTGCAGCGAGATTACAAAGACACGCAAAGGATGTGGAGTTCTTGGAGAGAGATCAGAGAGGCCGTGTGATAACGCCAGGAGGTGGAGGGTGCGATGCCAGACTTCGAGTGTGGCCGCGCAGCGCAGCTATAAAACCTCTGCGACTGTAGACGTGGTTGCTGTTCACCAGCTCATCTGAAGCCAAAAACCCTTGCAACTTATATAAGCATGTGCTCCGAGCCTCATTCCTCCTATATTGAATTTGCCTTTGCATTATCCCATTTTAATTACATTTTTGCTAGTGCACATTGTTGAATGCTGACTCTGTGTAACTTGATATCCATCACGTTGCAGCCAGGTGGCTGTTTGAATCCGGTTATCTCGGCCAGGTGTCTGCCGAAAGAGATCCTTAGTCTCTGCGGAGCCTCCTGTTTGAAAACATGTTGAAAAAAGTAAACAAAAAAACGAGCCGCAACTTCCAGCAACCTGACAGGAACCAGATGCAGATTATTTTAAAATGGTTTTATCTGCAGTGCTTCATAGTGGTTCTGTGGAGGATGACGTCTTTCTGCCCTCTCTGTCTCCTCCGCTGTAATATTCCTGAAGCTGCCTGTTATTATGTCATGAAATTGGCCCCATGAAAGTCTTCCCCTTTAACTGTAACAATACGAGTTTTTTTTTTTTCTTCCTTTTTTTTTTTTTAAAGGAATTGGAAACACATTGAGCCGTCGCACTCTGGGATTAATTTCGCCTCTACCCATGTCTTCTTCCAATGTTCCACGAGTATTTAAATCAGGAGCACATTTCTGGAGCTCATTGTGAACCGTGACCTATTTTGCCGAAGTCTGACCTGTTCACACTTTAAGTTTAGAGGTTGCATGAGGTGAAAACTGCCGTTTTCAACCAGGTGTTCATCTTGTCTTAAAGAGGGTGTTCAGGTTTGGTGATTGTGGCTCATTAATTAACAAAGTTCTTCTACTTTTCTTTGTTAAATAGGCGAGAAAACAGTATTAACAAGTATTTAGATTTATACACTCCTCCTAAAACATGTCATATGTTTGTCTTTATGTGATATTAAGAGCTTTACACTCGGCAGCAGTCTGTCTGGCGTCCCACAGAGTTACCAAGCTGCTATACAAATGTCAAACCGTTAAGTGGAGCAAGTTGCGCTGAAGCTTCCCCTGAGCTAAACTACATCACGGTTTGTCGACATTTACCGTAAGAGCGCTCTCAGCTTTCAGGTGATGTGATGAAACCTCTGGCTGCAAACCTCGGACGTCTCCAGGTCACAAGGGACAGAGGCTGTGACACGAGAGATGCATTTCTTAGACGTGCAACTCCAGTGCATTTCTAACCTGGCACCTTCAAAAGGATCACATATTGTACAGTTTTTGAATGGGACAGGACTCAAATCAAAGAATACTGTTGATTAATATCCATAGTAGGAGAAACACATTTCACAAAGCTAACACAGTTACATATTACATATTACATATTCAATGCACTGAGCTTCTTTTCTCACCCTCTGCTGCTGTTGAGCTCTTCGTTGTTTAAACACAATATATTCACTGTTTATTCTTTATACTACATAAAGGATGTGAACTGCGGGGCGTTCATGTGCTGTGGGAACCTTGAGCAGCCAAGATTCAGAAGTTAACCGTCCAGATTTTCAATGAAAGAAGCTTCACAATATCCTTTTGTTTTTATGATGGTCATGTTTTCTATTAAAAGTCCCATATTTTACATTTTTATGGTGTTTTACTATTAGTTTTGATCTTCATGAGAAGATATATTTGTAGTTTTAAGAACCAATACTGTCTCAGTGTAGTTTTACATCTCCTCTCTCAGGCTTCTCTCTGCAGCTCTAGTAACAACAGGTCGGTGAGCCAATCAGAAGAGAGGAGGCTCTGAGCCTCTCTTCTGATTGGCTGACTGTTTTCGGAGTGATCGAATAAGGTTGGATGGTGGGTCCAGGTGGGCCGTGCTGGGGGCATAGTTGTGGCGACCGTTTTGTTGTGACATCACAAAGTTACAGAAGTCCTGACGGTTCGTTTTAAGACACAGTTTTTGAATATGTCCCTGAACTGCACATTTTGATACTTTCACAGTATTAATATATCACCTAGACCTAATAAATAAAGACACTGACATCTCACTTTCTACAATATGGGATCTGTAAATTATTAATGAGATTGTATGAAAAATCAAACAAATTACAGCACAGACTACATGTTCTATGTTAATGTGATCAATTTCAGTTTTTAGAAAAAAATAATGAATACTGTATTCCACTATAAGCCAGTAGTTATGAGGTGACTAAATTTTCCTGTGGTATCTAACTAACTAACACAAAGCCAGATATGGTGACCCAAGATTTTCAATACTACATTAATATTTAAAACATCATAGAATAAATATTCATCCTGCCTATTTTCACAATAACAGAATTTATTGCTGGACCGTTTTATTTCATTCCAGCACTTTTACTTTCCAAATGTCCTTTTTTTTTCCTAAGTCTGCTTTTATTTTACAGCATCATTTTACCCAAATGTAATTTATTTTATTTTACCACTTGTCATCACAAAGTCTCTATTTGCCAATCAAGACAAACAGGACAGAGCCAGTCAATGTGACTGGCTTTTGGCTCTGTCCTGTTGACCAAATGTCACAATGAAATATGTCCTTATGAAATAAAATGATCACTGAGGAAGAGTTATGTTGTGAAATAAAATCTGACTTTAAAAAAGGGACATTTTGACATAAAAATGGCTGAAATGAAATAAAAATCTGCTGTGAAAAGAAACAGGATGAAATAATACCCTGGGTTTTAAAACTATTTTGGATTGTTTCACAATGTCACGGTCAGGTTATATTTTCTCTTTACATAATTCAATATTTATATATATACTGAAGAGCCGCTTCACTGAGCTACCATTCTAACACAGAGCTGTGGCTCAAGCCTATTGGGTTTTCTCAAATTATTCATATTTGTAGTTTTACCAAAGATCATTTTTACTAAGCATGAAGATTTTTTTGGGGAAGGATAGGTTCCTGTCTGTCTTAAAGCAGCAGCCAGGTGCCCATGTGTGGCTGTACTCAGTCGTCCTGTTCATACGGGACATGCTTCCAATGTTCTTGTTCTGATAACAAAAAAATAATAATTTAATATGAAGTGTGACATAGTTGATTTAAGTGCAAATGTGCAAAAAATTATTGTTCCCCCAGATCACGAAAAGGAAACATGTCGTTGTAAAAAGACAGTAACTTTGGAAGATATCCACTTTGTCGAACTCGCACTGCTCAAGCTTCATAGTAACCTGAGGTAAACGTTGGAATATACATGTTTTAATGCACATAAAGGCACGACAGTGTTGTATTAAGACAGACAGTGAGAATCCTTTAAGTCTGAATCATTTCTTTGTTTGACAGGACTTACTGTAAGTCAGCTGCGTTTTTCCCTAAATGTTAGAGGGGGGAAGAAAAAAAAAGAT